ATTTACATATAATTGAATAAAATCTACACAAATTTCTTCTCTTTTCCACCACCTTTTTTAAATAGAGCGTAAATTAGAAAGTCAAACAATGTTCCATTAACCAAGGTTTCTTTTGGTCCAATGAATACAATAGAAGAAGCTGTAAATAAAAAAAATATATACAAAAAATCAAAAAGGGAAGATTCAAAAAATATATAACGAATGGAAAAGTGTTACAACTTGTGAAGGTATATCTTTTTCAACGCCATATAAAATAGTGTTCTTAAAACATATATATATATATATATATATATATATATATATATATATATATATATATATATATATATATATATATATATATATATATATATGTTTTATATTATATATATATATATATATATATATATATATATATATATATATATATATATATATATATATATATATATATATATATATATATATATATATATATATATATATATATATATATATATATATATATATAACAGGTAGCCACATAAAATTTTTATAAGAAATTTTATGTGGCCATTTATTAATGGTTTAACGTCCATGTTTATTTACTTATGGGGCTTGGACAGGGATCAAATAATGTCATTTTTTATGTTAAATAGAATGCATTTGCTAAAGCAATTTTTTACAATTCCATGCACTTTAAGGCGTTAACCAGTTTTGTAGACCGAGAATAGGTATTTTGAACATATTTCCATCAAAAATTAATTAGAGGATAATAGAGGTTTTAGAAGTGGTTTTAAAAAAAAGAGGACTTTAGAGCATTTTAGAGGAGCTGTGGACACCCTGATTATAAATGAGGTAAGAGTCCAATACTGTTTTTGATTACCTCAGCATAATTTTGTGTATTCTATCTTTAGAAGACGTTCCACCAATTAACTGTAATTGATTTATCTGTAAAAAACATAAAGCAAATCTTATATTATGCTTGTGGAAATATATTATATAGTGGAGAACCATCCAAACCACACAAGTGGAAAATTTACATCCAAGTTTCTACTTGTGTGCAAATCTTGCATCCACTTGTCAACATTCTCATTATCACATTTTTCTTTTGTAGTTGTGAACTCAAAATTTTCATAATACTGTTTGCTTTCTTTTGGAATTGAAATAGTTATACAAATATTTATATATTTTGTATCAAAAAAATAACTTATTTTACCACATTATTTAAAAAATAATAATTGTAATATATAGATGTAATACCTGAATATATTATGTTAAAATAACTTAGGGCTCAATAACAAAGAAAAATAATGAAAGAATCCTAGGTTGCTAAAACATAAACATCCACATAAGATAATAACAAAAATTAAAAAAGAAAATATTTTAATAAATAATAAATTATCATTCAAACAATTTTAGAGACCAAAAAATAACTTGTAACTTATTTTTTACTCATCTTCATCTAATAAATATTAACTTATTTTTTACTCCTCTTCATCTAATAAACATTAATATTAATACCAATTTTAAACATTATTAGAATTTTTTTTTTTTATTAAAAAATAAAAATATTACATCAGTTACTTTTTGGGCTTTTCTTATTTTACTTAAAACGACAACTCAATCCTAGGCTTTTTTCATAATTGAGTTTTAATTTGTAAAGTTGAATTAACACTGAAAAAAAAATATTAGCAGACAAAAAGAAAATATTTCTTTATTGAAATATATGTAAATATTTTAATAAAGAAATTGCTTTTTATAAATATAAATTTATATCAATCAATTTAAATTTTTTTTTTTTCCGCCACCTTTTCAAAATGGAGCGCATTTTAAGAAGTTAGACAAAATGCCATTAATTAAAGTTTCAGTCGCTCCATCGTATTTAATAGAAGAAGCTGTTAATAAAAAAGAATTTAAAAAAAAAAAACACAAGGAGAAATTTTTGAATATATAAAAAATGAGAATAAAAAAGTTTTACACATCTTATAAAGGTATACCTTTCACTACACCATATAAACTAGTGCTCTTAAAGCATATTTCCACCTTTCCCCTTTTCCTCCATATTCATGGAGGTCACAAAATTGTTAGAACTTTAATAGATAAGAGAACTGATATTAATTATTCAAGAACTAATATTATTTTTTTTTTTTTTAAATTTAAATAGAACTCATCATCAAACATTTTTTTTGATGAATAATTTAATCCTTAAAACTCCTGAATAATTAAAAATTATTTAAATTACCTCAGCATTATTTTGTGAATTCTGTCTTTTAAAGATATTCCATCTATTGCAATTGATTCAACTAAAAAAAAACATGTAAAGCTAATACTATTGTTTGAAATGTTATCTTTATACAAATACTCATCATACTTTTTAAGTGACTGATAAAAATGGATTTAATTAAAATCACTTCATTTGTATACAAAAGTTAATATTAAAGCCTTAATCATACATTATACAAGAGTATTTTGTAATACAATCTAAATAGTTGATGCGATTTGTAATTTCTTTATCCAAAATTTAGCTTCTGTAAGCTTTAGAAATTTTTTAAAGAAATTATTGATGAATTTGGAGCTATGGGTACAATGATTTTATAGTGTTGTAATGTTTGTATTCATTCACAGTTAGTTTCTGTAAATAAATTTTTTTTAGGTGTTTCCATAATAAACTCTGTTATATCTGAAATTTAGTGTAAGTATGAATAATTTAATTTCTAAAATCTGTTTTGCATTGCCTGTCTTATAACATCTTTACTTGGAACAAAAACCATGTGCTTTAAAAGTGAGCTAGAAGCTTTCAACCATGAAGAAAATATTGCATTCGCTAATCCTAAAAATATACTAAACCTGTCAGCAAGATCAGCAGTCAGTAATCCAAGTATTAGCATCATTAAAAATTCATCTTTGCTGCATTACATTTGTTTTGGTCCTAGTAGTAAAGGATTTTTTTAAATTTCAAAAAAACAGAAATAGATGCTTTTTGATACAAATATAAACATATCAATATTGCAATATAATAATAAAAAATTGCAATTTTATATTAAAAAAATATTTAATTAAAACTACTTAATATTAAGACAAGCAAATTGTTAAACTAATTAATATTAAAACAATACATGAATTTGGAACATTAATCAAAAGAAGATAAAGTGATATTCACTTTATCTTTTGATTAATGGTGATACTGCACTGAATGATGAAACAGATTGACAGATGTAATGCCATTATAAAAGTTGCAAGATCTATCATTTTTAAAATAAATGTTTTTATACAAGTAAATTGCAATAACACGATTTGTTTGGATTATGTTTATATACAAACTTGCCTGGATTCATAGTAATAACTGATGTGGTTGAAGTTAATTTTTCATATAAATCTTTATTCAATTGATAACTTTAAAAAAGAACTTATATTTTCATATAAGTTCTTTTTTAAAGTTATCAATATCCTTTTTGTATTTTTGATGCTCTTTTATAAAACAACAATTAACATTAAATTCAACATAATTTAATGGATCAAATTTTTGAAAAAGTTGTATTATTTACATTTAATAATATAAGTCTTTGAGCATTGTAGCCCAAGTTAAACAAAAAATATCAATTTTTAAACGATAATGCTCTTTCAGGAAAATTGTCTGAACATGTTTTCGATCTCTTGAAAATTCTATATGTTATAAGTTCAGTATTTACATTTTTTTCCATTATAAATCAACCGCTGAAGTAATGTTTACGTTTTTACTTCCATTTCTGCGCGCGCATAAATTGTGAAAAAAGGTGTATTTTTGTCAACAATGATTTAACGTTGAAATAACGTTAAATAATCAACGTTTAAACTGTAACGTTGATTTAACGTTGAAATAACGTTAAATAATCAACCTTTAAACTGTAACGTTGATTTAACGTTGAAATAACGTTAAATAATCAACGTTTAAACGGTAACGTTGATTTAACGTTGTGACATAGTTGAACAACGTTGAAACAACGCTTCAACCGAATTTCAACGTTGAAACAACGTAATAATGCCGTCTGGGGAATGATCAAAATAAAACAATTTTGTTCCAGAGATGGTGCACGATAATCAATGCAAAATTGGTTAAAATTTGTTCGACAATAAGTCTCATATAGAAGGTTGTTATTTCTTAGAGAGTATTTATTGGTAGGTTTCAAGGTAATTAAATCATTAAAAACGGCAGGAGAAAGATTGTTTTTACATATATATACAAAGCATAAAATATTAAGTTTGTAAATATTAAGTATTCTCATTTCATAAAAAAGTTGTTTAGAGGGAGAAAAACGATCAGCAAAATTAATTACATGTATTGCATTCTGACGGCGATAGAGAGATTGTAACTTACTTTTTTCAGTGCTTTGTTTATTTCACAAAAATTTAAACAAAAATATTTCCTAAATCCTACAAATTGTTAAGGAAATTGAATAAATATACAAAATATTCAATAGCATATTGATGGACAATATCATAATACTTTTTTCAAAGAAGTAATACGTAAATGTCATTAAGGTCATTTAAGTTTTAAATATAAAAAAAAAAATCTTTAATTTTGCGTATGATAAATTCCGAAGTTTATCATACGCAATTTTTTGCAAGAATTTTTTGCAAATAAATTTTACATATTATTTTACTAATAAATATATCGTACTAATCTTACTAGTATATATATTTATCGCATTATTAAAATTGGTATGCAGTTATGTTTATCGTATTAATCTTTGATCGCGTAAAGTAACAGACGCGTTGTACGTAAACAATTTGGACCACATCATCGTGTAGCGTGTGGCGTCACGTTTAGGCAATCCTATCAAACCAGAATTAAAAAGGCATAATTATTTTAAAATAGCAACAAAAAAAAAAACTTTATGTAAAATACAACTTAACGTGCTTTTTAAATATAGAAAACGATATACTTTCCACAACTTACTCGTTCCACATCTTAAGAATGTCCCATGAAAAAAAATTATATAAAATTTCTATAAACTTTTAAAACATATAGTCTATAGTAAATTTAATAGAATTTTTATGGAAACTCATCGAAATTATTATAAAAGTTTCTTTGACTTTTTTGTTTTCTACATACATGTACAAAAGAAAAATCTTTTTCGGCGACAATTTCTATAGAAATTTCTATAAAATTTCCTTTAGAAATTGTATTAATTTTTTTTGGACTATATATTTCAAAAGGTTATAGAAACTCAATAGAACATTTTTCTCCTCAAGTTTTAAAAGTTTTTTCTTTGCAGGAACGGATGCATCATTTTTTAATGTTTGAAACTTCCAGACTCATTTTTTTTTTTTGAAAATTTTTCTATTTGACATAAGCATAAACATAAATGTTTGGAGTTTGCGCCGTGCCAGGAAGATAACTATTTCAAACATCAAAAGATGCCGCATTAACCCCTGGCTCTTTGTTTGTTTAAATTCAAATGTTAGTTTAGTTTTTAAATTTATTTCTCAAATTCAAAAACTTGAGAACTAAATACGTAAAAAAAGTTTTTAACTGTTAGTTTTTAACTGTTAGGAACCATCCATAAAGGACGTCACCATTTTATAGCCAAATTTTGACCCCCTCCCCCCCTTTGTCACCGGTTGTCCTTTTTCCCTATACCCCCCTTGAAAAAGACGTCATAAAATCCTGACCCCCACCCCCTATTTTTAACTCCAAAAAAATTTATTTCATCTCGCAATGATGTTTGAATCTGCTGCTACACCTTTGAAAAATAAAATTAAAAATATTCTCATACATTATCTTCTTAAAAACACGTAGTGTTTTTAAGAAGATAGTGTTTACGTAGTTTTCTATGTTAATTAAACTAAAATAAAAAATCTATAAAGTGACGTCCTTTTCTGACAACCTCCCCCCTACCCTTGTCCTTTTTTGTCCTTTTTAACTTAAACCCCCTCTCTCCCCCCTATTTGGATGACGTCCTTTATGGATGGCCCCTTAAAACACAACAAAGTTGTTTAGTAGAAAACTCGTTTAACTTATTAAAACTTATAATGGAATTTTTATTCATTTTGCTTTTGCTTTACATTTATTGTATACTTAGATATCGACCCCCTTAAAATTTCCATTTTCATGTATTTTTGTTTCACAAAGATGTCATAATTAAATAGCTAATCGAGTATTACGTTCCATACTTGACCTACATTTTTATTTCTAATTAACTTATGTCTACCTTCATTTTCACTTATGATGAAAAAAACTGCTTTTAAAAATCCGTTCCATCTTCTATTAAACTATAGAATGACTCGGTGTTAGGTTGATGCGCTCTTAAAACAATTTTTGTACAAGTATGGGTTTAAATTCTACCACGCCCCTGTGAGTACTGCACTAAACGTGTTTCTCAGAAAACGGCTTTGTTCGTTAAGGTTTATATTTTGGAATAAAAGAATGGAGAGATAATTGTAACCACAATAAAAATGCCTCCTCGACTATAGTACCCCTATTGCTCTGGGGGAGGTGAATACCATTACAAAAAAATATTTTATATTTCTTTATTATTTTTCAAGAAACCATAATCTTCAAAATATCTAAAAGTATTCATAATTCAAGAAACCATAGTCTTTAAAATATATAAAAGTATTTATAAAACAAGAAACCATAGTCTTTAAAAAACAAAGTGGTCGTAAAATACAAGGGATAAAAATCATCACGAGAAGTAAAAATATAATATGATATTTTTACTAGAGGAGTTAAAGAAAGGGGACTAAAAAATCTCACACAACAACAACCTGTTTTTAAAAAATTCATTGACTTATAACATTATATATAATAGTTTCAACTGTATAATAATTTTTTTCAATAATCTATATCGTTAAAATCGTCAGGGTTAGGATCAGGGTTAGGGTCAGGGTCAGGGTTAGGAGTCAGGGACAGGGACAGAGATAGGGTTATTATTTTAACTAATTAAAGGGTTAATTTTTATTTCAATAGAACTATTTAAACTTTTGCAAATTTTTCATTTTTAGCTATTTTTAATTCTATCTTAAATACCTTTTTTAACTGCAATTTTTTTAATTGCGTTTTTATTTATAATTTAATTTATTTTATATTCATTTTTAACTATTTGTGGGTTATTAACTTTTTGATTTTACTTTTTTTCGTGTTATTTTAAAAAACACAATAAAAAACTGTATTCTTTTTAAGTAAAATACTCTAAAACGGAGAAAAAAAAAGACTTTGAAAAGTCGTGTCAATGTTCAGTTCATCAAGCTTATAAAGTGTTTTTTATTTTAAGAAAATTTTGTCAAAATTACGTAATCAGTAAAATAAATATACGTAAAATATACGTAGAACATTTATCTTTGTTTTTTATGTTGTTTTTTTTTTTTTTTTTACGTATCAAATGACGTCTTTCCAAAAGACTTTTTTAATAATTTTCGTTGATTAATAGAACAGTTAAAAGGATGACTTCTTAAGAAATAACTTTTTTATTCTTTCTTTTTTTTTACAAGTAATTTGAAAGTTTTGTTTGAAAAAAATTTGATTCAAGACCTCAAAGATCCATCTCTCTAATAAACTCACGTAAGTTTTATCTTTAATATAGACAGTAGATGAAACCAGTGTGATAATAAAGATTTGCTTCATTTTAAAAGATATTTATTAAATTTTTTCCAATTTATGACGTAACATCGGATGTCTGCTCAATATATAATTGAGGTTATTCAATTAAATATTTAGTCCATGATATTGTGGTTAACTTAAAAAAAGAGATGATAAAACTATTTTATAATGATAAAACATGATTGAAATATGCTGAAAACAAAAAATCCAACTAACTTTTAAATAAATAAAAATGAATTTTTAAAATATAATTAATAAATGTGCAAATAGACATCAAAAATACAAAAAGCAGTTAGATTAATATAGTCTTAGTGGTCTGATAACAGCCTTTAAAAGAAACTCCAAAAAGTTCTATTTGCTCTTGCGCAAACAACGGAAATGGACTTCCTTGACGTTAGTTAAGGAAAGACAATATATATATAAAAAGATTAGAAAAAGATTTCTGTGGGTTTATTCAAATAATATGTCTTAATTATTTATTGTATAAAGCAACTGTGTGGCTAAAAAAAAAAAAACTCATATAATGATATGAGTTTTTTTTTTAGCCACACAATTGTATAAAATGTGATACAGCAACGATATCAGTAGTTTATATCAGCAATATTCCACTTATTATAAATATAAAAAAAAATTATAAAGACTTAAAATAGCTACATTTTTTTTTTGCCATATCTTAGATATAAAAATATATAAAATATATATATATATAATTTATATAATATATAATATATAATATATATATATATATATATATTATATAATATTATATTATATATATTATTATTATATATATTATTATTATTATATATATTATATATATATATTATATAATATATTATATAATATATAATATATATAAAAATAATTTTTTTTTTTTTTTTTTTTTTTTTTTTGTATTCAACTTTTTTGAATTAAACTTATTCGGTTCTAAATTTGAGAAAAGCCGCAATTTATATTGTAAAATAAAAAAAAAATAAAAAAAAATGAACATACTAAAATATTAACCTATATATCATGTCATATATATGATACTATACGCCCTTTGCCCATGATTCAGCATATATATTACTGGTGCAGTATTTTTAATTAATACTGTTTTTACTTTTTAAAGTTAATCATAATTTCATTTAATTTAACTTCAAAACTCTACTTTCCAATGTTTACTTAACATTAATATCCTTCTCAATTTGATTATAAAACTTCATTGTTATCAAAAATATTTTATCAATTATAATTTTTTTATCAAGAAAAACGCAATAATTTTTTGTTATCTTTAGCATTCCTGTGTTAAAAAAAAAACTTCGCTGACTTTTTTCTTTTTTTCTTTTTTCCTCATCTTTTCGAGTAGCCTGTATTTTGCTCATAAAAGTTAATAAGTCTTAGCGGAAGAAATTTTTTTCTTCTTCTTCCTCTTTAGCAACGCTAGACGATATTTAAATCTGTTTATTATTTATTACTGTCTAATAAATAAAAACTTAAAAATACAAAGGAATTTTATCAGACTGAAAAAAATATCTATTGTGTTTATTTATTTAAACAACTGGTAACACTGATTTTTTGAAGTTTCTAATTCTCGACTTTTTGATCATTTTATGCGCGATTGTTCGGCAAAAACTTCACGGGCTAGGCTCATTCGAAAATAAACCAAGCATGGTTCTGCTTACTTGCCGTGTTAGAATTATGAATGATTTAAGTTGTAAATATGGCACAACTTTAAATAAAAAGTTCTTTGAGACTAATAAAATAAATAATAAACTTCAAAATATTTTACTATGTATTATCCCGTCTCTTGGAAGCACATTTTAACGAACTGGCGTAATTTTTTTCTTTGTTCATTTTTTAACTTCATTCACTTGTCTGAACAAAGAAATGCAAGGAACACCCGCCAATTACTTTGTCATTTATCACTTTGTGCAACAGCTATTTTTCATTGGTTTAAACTTATAACAAGCAATTTAATTGGTCAGAGCTAATCTTTAGTCTTTATAGCAACTTTTAAGTAGATCTCCAAGAACAAAAAAAAGTTTAGCAAATGTTTTTTGAAGTTGTTGTTTTGTTGTGTATAATAAAAACTTTTATAAGTTATTTAAAAATTATATTCAGTTGTTTTGTTTAAAATATCAATTTAACGTGGTCTATCAATTTTTTTTTAAGTTTTAAAGCCGAAAACAATTGCAAAGTATATGGTTTTTTGTGAAAGATAAAAACTCTAGACTTGCTAATAATACAGTTCTAAAATGATGTTGGACACGGAAAAAATGGACGTAGATCTTTCTATTGTGAAGAAAGAACGACTTGAACTAGACGATTATGGCCAGAATACCGGAAATATACTAGACAATTTTATTACAGAGCATGACTACCACGATTTTCCTCAAAGTGTTCCTAATGTGGTAATATTTTTTATTATTGTTAAAATGACTTTATTCAGTTTTTTGAGTTAATGTAAATACAATTTTTGCAGTTTTTTGAGTTTATATCAATGTAAATACAATTATTGCATATGTTGCAACATTACTTCATCAATTAAAAAAAAAAATTATATCCACACTCTGTCATTTAGATATTATAAAAGTTATATAAATTAGAGCAATTTTATAGTAACGTAAGTCAATGAAATGGGACTTTTAATTAATACATTTATTAAATTTATTCGATCCAAACAACTTAGTAAAAAAGTAAATTTTTGTTTTTAAAGTCATCAAAAATTAAAAATTAATTTATTAAATAGCAATAATAATTGAATTCGTATCTTACTACTTGAACTATTAAATGAAAAATAGAAAAATTTTATCTTATGAAATACGAATGATTCAACATTTTTGCATCTTGGATTGTCGGCCTTTTTTCTATATAACTAAAAAACAAACTTAACAATTTAATCCGCTTCTTTAATTAACTTAGTCGCGATTGAATTGTTTATCTAAAGTTAATTTAGGAAGATTAGATATAATTTCCAATTTTTAATTTATTTTATATTAACATTTACAATGCAAAATAATCTAATAATTAACTATGAAAAAAAGAAACAAGTTTAACTTGGTATTTTAAGCTAAATATTTTTGCACATTAAAAAAAAAAAAAAAATTTTTACACTCCTAAGTATTAATTGAGTTTTTAATTGTAAATTTGTTTTTTCTGTGTATTTATAACAACATAATGTAACCCATAATGATACTAATTATTCTGTTACTTTTATTAATAAAAGTTTTTATTAATAAAAATTTTGAATGTAGGTTAACATTTCTGTAATGTTAAATTTATACATTATTTTATTGGTTTAGCAGTGCATTGGTGATGACGATGTTAATGTAGACTGGCTTTCAAGTTTTTTTGACGAACCTTTACACGATCATATGTCTGGTTTAAACCCTCCTTTAACTGATCTTGTATCCATTTCAAATTCGAACTCAAAGTTAACGTTTGTATCTGGTGAAAACGAAGATTTGTGTTTAGACTCGATGCCCATATTTTCAGAATGCTACACTAACGGAGTTTTTAACGTATCTAGCAAAGGTAGTACAACAACGTCAACTTCGTCTCCAGCTCTCAGAAATTTTAATCCTTTATTGTCACAAACAAAAAAAGAAACTTTTACCGAAGATGATTTTGTCAAAGATGATGTAAAAAAGGGTCAAATTCTTACTAAACCCCAAAACTTTGAAGTTGACAAACAAATCACAAAAACTGAAAACCAGCAAAAACTTTTTTTATTCATGAACACGCCGGAGAATCGCGTCAAATTAGCCGGCACAAACTTTAACATTATAAATGCAAATTTATTAAATAAACTATCAGGTCAAAATAATGATAAACCTATGAACGTTATTCAACTAAAGAAATGCATTAAATTAAACAACGTCGTCAAGTGCAATACGACAACGACCAATAGTAATGCATCGACTGTTTCATCAGAAAATAAAACCCTTAACACAGCACCTAAAATTATATTAAATAAAAACAATGGCATAACTGATATTTTGCAATCTAGCTTATTACAAGGAATCATCAAAAAAGAGCCGGAAAACATAGAAATAGATTCGGGTAATTAATTTCTAATGGTTTTTATTGGTACTTTAACAGGTTAAATTTATTTTTTATTGCCTAATATAAATATGTGAAAATACGATAATGATTGTTGGTGTGTGGGGGAGAATGGAGGCTTTTAATGGTAATAAGATATTTATTACTTTTTAATTCCTAATATATTTTTATAATTTTTGACAATGGATATTTTATACCATTTTGTACTCATTACGCGGACTAGTTTGTACTAGTTTATGCTGAGTCATTAGTTTCATTTTCGTTCATTGCGCTATTTCTTTGTCATTTATTAATTTAATATAAAAACGATGCTGAGAGGATAATACCATTCTGATCAGCATTAAATACAATTTACCACTTTTTTAATGAAATTTCATTGATTTGTTACGCGTCTTGATCGTAAAAAGGTTTTCCACAGCGATTAAACACGTGCAATAGCGACCATTGTTCATCTTTCTCGTTTTTGTTGACAAAGCTGTTTAGACTGAGAGATATAAAATGTAAATATTAGTTTCAATGACCTGTGCTCTTTGAACAGCTGTTTATTTAACAATTTTTCTTAGATTTTTGTTATGCAATTGCTGATAAGCGCTGATCGATTTTTTAAAAGCGCTGTTACATAAGTATGTATACTTTGTAAAAAGTTTGGAAAATGTTTATATATATATAAGTTTATATATATATATATATATATATATATATATATATATATATATATATATATATATATATATATATATATACATATATATATATATATATATATATATATATATATATATATATATATATATATATATATATATATATATATATATATATATATATATATATATATATATATATATATAACTGTTACACTATCTAATTTAAAAATTAACGACTTAAACTATATAAATTTGTAACCAATATTTGCGGTTAGTATAGAATAATTTATTTAAAAAACAAATCTCTGCGTGTGGGTGGGTTAGCGTTTGTTTATACATACGTGTTTGCATTATGCGCATATTATATTGCGAAGTGAATTTCAATTAAATAATTATTAAAAAAAAATTGTTTTAACCATGATTTTAAAATATCGTCATCGGTACTAAAATATATTAATATAGTATAAGTCATCATTTATATTCATAATTATAACAAAATTCAAAATACAATTTATTACTATGATATTTTATTTTTCTTTCTTTTTATTTATCTATTACATTTTCAATTGAAATACTTCAGAAAAATATTTTTTTAAATTATGCCATTTTTCTGGTTTCTATATATATATATATATATATATATATATATATATATATATATATATATATATATATATATATATATATATATATATATATATATATATATATATATATATATATATATATATATATATATATATATACATTAAAAAACAAAAAAACAATGTGCTAAATATTAAGCACTTCTTTTTTTTTTTTTTTTTTTTTTTTTACCGGAAATACCGTATCCTTTTACGGTATTTCCAAATAATTGAATATAATTTTGATTATTTAATAAAGTTCCTTAAAATTTATTTAAAGAAAATTTTTATGTTTAAGGTTATGAATCCCCAAATTCTAATGAATCACCGTGTTCGCCTCCGGGTGACATCGATAAATCAAGTTATGACACCTACATTGACGTGGTATGTTTTTGTTTTTGTTGATGTGTTTAAATATTCTACAAAAAATTTTGACAAATAAAGGTTATATGAAATAGTAAATTTGATAATGACTTTTAAACAGAATTATAAAAAGAAAAAGAAAATAACTATTTCTGAAAGGAAAATGCACTTCCGCGTTTAAAAACATAATAAGCACGTTAAAACGCGATTGAAATTTTAACTTTTTTCTTTCATCAAGAGTTTATTTTTAGATTAATGATATTTTTTAAAAAAATCAAAAATATTTTTTAAAGTTCTGTTTGTGAATATTGACTTTCGGACTTAGGGATTGCGACCTTAAATTTTGCAAGCAATTGTGCAAACAATTGATTTATAAAGTTATCTTTGTTGTGTTTGTTTTGTTTGCCATTAAGAAATATGAGATGAAGAAGCCAAGTAAACACCTGAAAATAAGCATCTTTTTTTTAAACTCAAAAATGTTAAAAATGTAAATGTAATTTGGGGAAAAAGAAACAATGTTTTTAAGCATTCCCAGCAAACAAAAAATAAACTTTTTAAACATTCCCAGGAATTCGGTCCTAAAAAGATGTCTTTTAAACATCTTTTGAATGTTATGAAGATCATTTGAACGTTCAAAAGACATTTTTTTGAACCAAATACTGGCTGGGTTAGATTGCTTTTTAAACTATCAAATATTAAAGTTACAATTTTACCTTTTATATGATTTCTTATTTAATGGTATTAAACCTCCAGTAAATAAATGAAAAAGAAAATTATGGCAGATGAAGACTAATGGTGTATTTATTTACCTATTTTCTGCAATAATTGTTTTCTTATTTTAAAATTTTTTCAAATCATAAATTAAAATTTCATCTAAAATACACTCAAATGTTATTCAACTAACCGTAGCTAAGCAGCGTTATAACTACTTCGCGTGTTTATCTAACTAAATGCGTGTATAACTAGATATAAACGCGATGCGTTATCTAGATATACACGCGAAGTGATAAATTTTTAAAAACCTCATGTACAGTTATCTGTACATGAGATTTTTAAATTGACAATAATTGGTATTCGAAAAATTGATAACCTTTCATTTTTGCATTTTGGAATCTGGAAACATTGTATTTTCACCTACCACAAGGGGTTTTCGCGGGTCAGCTAAAAAATAGTCTTTTTTACCATGTTTTAACCGTATAAGTGTACTGTTGTTTACCTATCGAGTCAGCTTGTAACGTTCTTTGCAATCTAGTTGCTATCAATTGTTATATATAATGTTGATGCACCTATAAATGCCAATGTAAAATATTTTTATTAAAATGTTTTATGTAATTAAAACTTTCTCTTTTTTTACTGTTTATTTTTTAATACTTTTTTTTTATACATAGCCTCCCCATGAGCGCCAACCGTTTTATTTATCGGAAGAAGAAAAAAGAACGCTGATTATCGAAGGACTTCCAGTACCAACTTCTCTTCCTTTAAACAAAATGGAAGAAAGAGCTTTGAAAAAAGTGCGGAGAAAAATAAAGAATAAAATATCCGCACAAGAAAGCCGAAGGAAAAAGAAAGAGTATATGGAAGCCTTAGAGAAGAGGTTTTTGATTTAAAACAAATTTTATAAAGATAAAAAATAATTTTAAAATAACTTTTTTTTTATTCTGTTAAGTTGGTTTTTAAAATATTTATAAGAATTACCTTCAATGTTATGTTTTATTTTATAATCTAATACATAAAATATAAATTGTTCTTATTTTTTTAAAGGGTTGATTCTTTTGCTAATGAAAATAGTTCATTAAAAAAGAAAATGAGCAATTTAGAAGTGGCAAACCGATCCTTAATATTGCAAGTTCAAAAGCTTCAGGCCCTGATTTCCGGAAACTCGGATAGTAAACAGATTCCAGATATACAATCATTGGGTAAAAATTTTAAAAATAAGCAAATATATACAGGTTTATCTGATTTATTAGAATCAGAGAAATTAAGCTATTTTATCATTTAGAAACTGTACCTTAGTTCCTTCTTGGAAGACTAGAGATTTGGAGATCATCTTTGCATAAATTTAAGCTTTACAACTGCTCAAATGATGAATCATCTTGGATGGAATAAAATGGTGTAGCGATTCGTTAAAAAGCTGTTTTTATTAACTTCTTGCGCTTTGAATTTTGCATGTAAATCGCTGTATTTTCCCAAATATGCGTGCTACTTTAAGTGCATAGCGTGTGTTACTTGAAACGCATGGGTGTGTGTTACTCAAGACGTCTGGACGAGTTTTTGGTAGTATTTATAAAATAAAATTGTAAATATATAACATTTCGAAAATTTATTTGTCAGGATTTATTTATTTGTGTTAGAATGTCATTTTAAAAATATAATACTTTGGTGGTTAGAATTTTTTTGGTCAATTTACGCGTTTATTTATTTTTATTTAGTCGGCTCACGTGTTTGTTTATTTGGCGCGGTTATTAAAAAAGTTTTCCTTTATAAAATCAACAATTTTTGTTTCACTAATCTCTTTTCGAGTTTGAGGAATACTTTTTTTTTTAATTAAAAAATTTCAAATTTGTTATTTGTGAATCATTCAATTAGTGTAACGCAATTTTTAAAGAATAAAAGATTGCAACAAAAATTGTGTACATTATTCACACCTTGTAAATTTCGGCAACTAATAAATTAAAAAAAAATCCTTTTAAGGTGACATTTATATTGAGTATGCTAATACATTTTACATAATCATGAGATAAACTCCAAAAACAAATGCGAGGAAAATAAAGTTTAAAAAATCTTAGGTTTTTCTAAATTAACTCAAAACTTATTGATATCATTCAAGTTTCATTAAAAAACGTATTGATGTTTAAAATATCATTTTAAAAATCATTATCATTTTAAAGGACATGTAAAACTTGAAATCCTTACAATATTTGAGGGGGTTGTTTAAGTTGCAACGAAATTGATTTTAACAAAGTTTCATGGCACCTCCTCAAGTTCTATACAATGTCTCCTTTAAATGATTTTTTTGATTTTTTTAGACGAGATTGACAGTGAATTTTTATAGGGTGTGTATTAGTAATTGTAAAGTTAAAAACACTAAATATTTTAGAAGATAATCAAGCCAAGCTATTAAAAAAAAATTATTATTATGCTAGTATTTTATTATTGCCCTTTGTGATATTTCAAATATATATATATATTTTTTATTGAGATTTTTACTTCATATTTTTTTTTGTTGGCATTTTTATGATCCAAGTTGTATCTCTTCCTATTAAATTTGTTACCATATTACTAAACGCCTTTCTGAAGAAGCAAAGTTATCAGACCTTCATACATTTTCCTGGCATGATAAAGATTGGAAACTAAAAGATGCATAATGCTTTAGTGATGACTACGAAGTGCTAAAACTATTCATAAATATGATATAAACAAATATATTTCGAATGGTTGGTTTGAACTTAAGACAGTTGTAGATTTAATGTTAGTCTTAATTCTTCAATAAAGATTTTTGATGATCATAGACTTTCTAGAAATTCATTTGTGATTGGATGATTTGTGATTAGATGATTTAACACTAATTGGTTGTAGGTTTCATTCTACAGTTGAATTTTATTAGTATGTAGTTTAGCGAAATACTTACAAAGATAAAATAAGAACGGGTTTGTTTGTATTAAATATGTATAAATACAAACACCTTGTCCAGGTTAAACATAACATTGCATTTGTTTTGACTGGAGCATGGTATTCATAGTGTTTATCTGAGTATTAGCAAACCAATGTATTATCTTGATCATACTTTTTACATACATGCTTATTTTCAGTGCCGACTTTAACCTTCATGCCGCCCACGTTTTTTTTCTGGCCACTCCTGAGTAGTTTATAAGTTTGCTGGTAAATTAATTGGAAATTAATAACAAATCAAATTGAAAAATAGTGCATTGCAATTAAGTTTTTAGTTTACATACAAAATAATAAATTGCAATTAAGTTTTTAGTTTACATACAAAATAATAAATAATAAAAGCACGACCTCATCACCGTGCTGCTTATTATTGCAACTTTATGTTTCCTTTGAAAGTTCTTTAAACATAGTCTAATTCACAATATTTCAAGTCATATAATTAAGTTTTAATGTAGTGCAAAGATAAGCTGATATGTATGTATGGGACCTCAATGGGCAAGATTCAAATGCTGTTAACTACAATTGATAATGACTGAACTGGACTCAATAGGTAAACTTCAATTTTTGTCAAATGCAAATGATACTTGACCACAATTTTTAATACTTTAAGACAACTTTTTGTTGAGCACTTTTTTAAGCTGGTCATTAACTTGAGTTAGTGTTTTGAAAAAGTTATTTATTCTTTTATGATTCTATTAACCATTCTATCAACACAATCCTAAAGCTCCTTTCAACCCAGCGGGCACTGACGCTGTTAAGGTGGTATACCCCTCAAAAATATCAAATTTTTCACAAAAAAATTTGTTTCTTTATTTTATTCAAAATTTATTATAGAATCATATTCTGAAAACCACTTTTTAAAATTCAGTATATAACTTGAGGAAAACAAACTTTACTGAACCTTACTTTTTTAAACGCCATTGACAACCTCCATAGCAACGGTTAAACTTTTATTTGGCCAAGAAATTCTCCCCAAACTTTATTTTTGATACTGAGAAAAAAAACTTGTTGAAATGAGTTAATAATTTGTTTCTATTTTCCATTAATCAAAACACATGTTAGAGTAACAGCAATAACTGGATTATTTCATAAATTTCTTCCAGAAGTTTCTTTAAAACGAATTGTCATCTTAAAGTTATATATACCTACCTATATATACCTATGCATCTGTTTATGTTTATATAAATTAAACCTTATACTTTTAATGGGTAGAAAACGTGTGAAATTCGCTACTCAATATAAAAAGAAAAAAAGAATTCATGGAAATCAATATACTTTAAATAAAACAAATTCAGCAAATTCAAGTCTTCTACCTTCTACAGATTCACAGAGCTCAATAAATGTATCTTATTCCAAGGTAAACCCTATTAATACTTCTGCAAGTTCTAATAAAAAAAATATATGTGGATACAGAATAATTGATGGCACTTTATAAACCATTGTTGTTCAGTAAATGATTTGCATATTTTTTCTTTTTTTCTTTTTAAAGTCTTTATTTGCTAACTTCTATTTTTCAATCTCCCATCACAGTCACATTTCATTGTAGTAATCAGTTTTTAACATAATTTTCAGCAGTAATGTGTTTTTATATGATGTATGCGATCTGCCAAAAGTTAATTATAAAACATTTCAGAGTTTGAGATATTGCTGTTTCAGCACTAAAAAATTGCTTATTTAAAAATCTTTATAATCCGTGTAGTGCTACATGGAAACTAATAGTCAGTTTTAAAAAAATCTGTCAGATTGCATAGATCAAACTGTTTTTTATCTGTTTTTTATGGCCCAATTTTTACTTTGAACACGCTATTAAAATTTGAGATATTTTTGACAGTACGATGAGCATAGTTTCTTATACCCGCCATTTTAGATGGTTGTCATGACAACATAACAACCTTTAATTTTATAAATCAACTTCGTTTAATATGATCTTCCATAGGCTTAATTTTAATTTTGACTATAGGATTTCACTTTCAAGATAATTTTGAAGGGGGTATACCACCCGCCCGCACGACATCCTATAAAAATTACACTTACTTGGACATCCATATAATTAACCCCTGGAAAAACCAAGTTTCCTACTAAATAGATTTTTAATTTTTTCAAATAAATTTATTTTCTTAAAATGTAATGCACATAATCTCATCAATAAAATAATAAATTTCAAAAAAGCATTCTTTTTCAAAAATATTTTGTATTAAAAAAGAAATTTAATTATAAAAATATCTTATTTTAATAAAGTTAATGAAACTTATTAATGAGATAACTGCAGAAGAAAAATATTACTTCGGCCTTTGATAAATTGTAATGGAAAAAGATTATTACCTAATTGTTTTTCGATAATAAAAAACGTGTTTTTTATTATCGAAATACCATTGTTTATTGAGAGTAACCATGGTTTATTGAGAGCCTTAAACAAAAAGACCATAACAGGTTTTTCCTGTTGATTTAGCTTAACCAAAATTTATAGTAAAAGGGATGCAGTGAGAGGGTTGGGCACGAAGCTTTTCATGTTGTAGTCATTTTAGTTGCTCCCAGAAGTCCTTAAGGTCTTATCATAGAGCACTGCGGGAGAACATTTAACAGGAAGTTTACGCCTCCTTCCCTACCAATCTCGCTTGTTGGGCTAAAGCTTGCGTCGAACCTGGAACCTCTTAGTTCTGAGCCAGAACTCTAACCACTGCGCCACGGCTGCTCATGTTGATTGACAAAAATGTATACTGGAAAACCATATTATTTTTAGAAAAATGTTCCTTTAAAATAAAAAAATATAATTATAATTAAATTAATTAAATAAACTAAACAACAAAACGGTGTATATAGAGACAATTAAAAATCGGATGCTTGTTAATGATGCAATAACACTTTTTTCAATACGTTTCTTTAAGTTTATTGATATAAGAAAAAAACATTTTTAATTGGGCATCATCAGGCATTAAAACCTCAAATAAATAGATAACACAAATATCAAAATTATAGCCAGCCAGCCTATTAAAACTCCTTGATAGAATTTAAAATAAATATAAAAAACATGTTGGCATGCTCTTATAAAATACACGTTGGTATGCCCTTAAAAAATAAAAAGGAATACGGCCTTATAAAATACACGATGATACGCCCATACACTCGAGTTAACAAATAACAACAAAAATAAGGATGTTTTTTGCGTTTAATTATAAAATGCTATTAAACAAAATATAGAAAATATTTAAAAATTAAGTAGGACAACATTGGTCAAAATATTAAATTTAAGAATAAGAAAATTTTAAGGAAAAGATAAAATATCCTGATTCTAATTAGCAACAATCTCAAAAATCTACTGACATTACATTTAAACCAGGCATCTTTATTTTTGCATCATTTTACCATAATCCACATCATAATATTTACTACTTTCTAGAATTCTAGCATAATAAGAATGGATATTCTTATCATGCTCTTTTTTTTTCTTTGAAAAAACTCAAGTAAAAATAAAGACAAACGAAGGTTTTATGAAAAAAAAAGGAAAGTTTTATGAAAAAAAAAATCCCATAAGTTCTTGTCACCAAGAACAACTAAATTAAAACGCGTCACCATGCGATCTGATTGTCGGCATTGTCGAAGACCTAGTTGTTGGCTTTGGCCACTAAAAAATACCCAGAGCAAAAAATAATTGTTGGTAAGTTTTGAAA